GAGGGGAGTGCTATCGCGGACGTCTCATTCGTATATATGTCAATGGGGCTGGGGGGGGGGAAATTGCGTCGTGATTTTGTACGGCCTGCTCTGGATGACCACAATGACACACTTACTGGAGAGTTATAAAGAGCTGTCTCTGGGTATTCTGGCTTCCATCCCGGAAGAAAATAAACAACCCCGCTCGGCCCACATCCACACACAGCACTAGCAGCAGCACGTGGCGACTCCTTTAAAATCGCGGGAGAACGCGAGCCGCGATCAAGTCAGTGCCCGAAGCAGCTCCACAAGCACGTGGAGCGAAACGTCGGGCGTCGTGCCGGACACGAAGTGGTACAATCAGAGGTCGCATTAGGAGGGCCGCGTCATCTCTTATCTTGGCGTTTTCCATTCGACTTTGCTTAAGCGATTTTTTTCGCGAACAAAAAAGCAATATCATCAAGATGAAAGGCGATCGCTTCTTCTATCGTGCTGTGTAATTATGGCTTAAACACTGTTGACGTCATTATATATAAAAAAATGACTTTTAATATTCTCATGGGCGATGCATCGCAATAACAGCGCTCACAAGAAGGACGCGCGCGGAGTGGGGGGGGGGGTAACGGCAGACTTTCCAAATTTATTACTTTTTGCCGATTTCCAGCACAGAGAGACATTGTCACAACAGCAGGAGTAAAGAACAAAAAAAGAAACCACCATCAACATCACACACCTGTACACAACCTCACCGCGGCGCGCGTGTTTACAGTAAAATAACAACGGCGTACTTCGAAACGAACAAAGCAACGATCCTTTTTTATTGTTACACACACAAAAAAGCCCCAATACATTACGTTATCCCTCGCGGGGGGTGTTTGTGGTGTGCGAAAGCAATTTTAGAGGTGCGCCGGGTTGATGCACACAGTGACCAAGCAGAGAAATTCATTTCGTGGTGGTTGATGCATCGCGCAAAATGCATCCGCTCTATGCGGTCGGGACAAAAGTAAAACCATACGCACGCACGCACGCGTTTAATAAGTGGCACCAAATTCCTCGAAAGGGAATCAGATACAATGGGAAATTTCCCGGCAAAAGCTTCCCCAATGAAGTCAATAGATAGCGTTTTGCAAACAAATATACTTTGGACCAAAACAACTCACCTACTGGAATCGTTTGTTTAAATATGCTAACCCATACGCAAAATAGTATTTTGACGCAACGATGACGCCGGTTTTGTTTTCTCTCCGAATTTCTCTGCGGTTTCCGTGCAGCTGAACTTGACAAACATTCGAACAAAAACGAGAGAGAGGACCCCGCTTTGGTAGGCAAATGCCCTGCAGTGTCGAAAAGACTTACGGTAATTCCTACAAAATAACACCGGTCCGCCTTGAAAATATTTCACATCGAGAGCCGTCAGTCGCTCACGCAGCCGTGCCGAAAAAACACAAAACCGCTCCCCCCCCTCCGCCCCCCCCCCCCCGCGCATGTCTCATTTGCAGCGGTTGGCCCAAAAAAAAGCTGAGCAAAACCACAACTTGACAGCGTCGTTCTAGACAGGCGGAGGAAGCGGCGACACCATCACCGGCACAGCACACGGGCACGCGTCGCCAGGACGATGACGCTTACGGCGAGGTGGTGCGCGTTGGCGTGAGAACCGACGAATGTGGATTTTATTCCGTGTTTAAGTCATTTGCATATCACAAAAAGCACCCCCCCCCCACCCCCCAACCCTTGAGGGAATTGATGAAGTGATTTTGGAATAAAACATTCACCGTCGCTTTGATTATTTTTTTGTTGCAAGTCCTTGGGGGCTGTTGGTCCGAAGAAGACTGGTCCCGCTCAACAGTAAGATCACACGTCAAGGAGGAATGGACAAAAAGGGGGGGGGGGGTGGGGGTGTGCGTGGAAGTGTGGGGGGGGCAATGCTGAAACGTTGACGGCGGAAAAGCTGGGGTAGAAAAATTGTTCCGAGTCCAGCGAGCAATCATGAGATGGCGTGCGTGATCAGGAGGGGCCCCCCGCTTTGGAGTAACTCCGCGAGTCCTTCGCCAAAGGCAAACTTGCTCACAAGTCTCCCTTCTGCCGGCCCGTCGCGAGTCCTCCCAGTGGCCGTAGCGAGGGGCGGGCGGGCGGGGGGGCGACCGACGTCGGGAAAGAAAAATCGGCGGACCTGAAAAATCGGAACCGCGACAGAACGCGCGTGGCCGGGGAGATTTTTTTTATTTTCCCCGCGCGCAACGACAGTCCAGCTGTGATCCGAGTGGAAGAAAAGACATTCATCTTCATCGCCGCAGCAACCACCACCTTAAACGCACCCAACTCGACATCCGAAATCTTATTTGACTTTTCATCAAAACTTTGGTCCCCCCCCCCCAAAAAAAAATATATAGGGTAAAAGAAGTGTACACCTTGTCTAACCCCACCGCCCACGCGCGTAAAACTGTACATCTTTAAAGACCGCAGGGTGGTTGGGAAATAACGCGAGCCCAAACTCCTCCTGCTTGTACCGACATTTTTAAACGCTGTTGACACGCAAACCTCCCGGAGGAGAATAACACGTTAATCACGCCATAGGTACGTTTTACATTTGATTTTTTTCGCAAATACTAAACGTGTACCGTGTCAACTGTGTAACACCGCTGACGCCTAATAGGGACACTGTCGAAATACTGACGTAGATGATCACACATTTTACAAATAGAAAACATTTTAATTGTTTCGTCTGTAGGGAAGTTGGCTGCCTCAGCTGTCTTCGTGGGACGTCATTACCTCAACAGCACCATCAGCTGCGGACTCTGCGACCATCACGCGCCAAACGGTATTCAACACAGTCCAAACAATTGCGGAAGTACGCGTGTAAAAAAAAAATCACGTGCAAAAACGTATGTTGAAATGAACATTCTTGATTTACCGAGGCAGGATAACTCTGGAACTAAAACGCATCACGCCAAAAGGGGTGAGGGGGGGGGTGATGAAATAACATGAATAAACCGTGTAGCGGGGCCACACACTGCTGATGAGACTCATTAAGTCAACAAACCAAAGGATTTGCGCGGCTAAATGCTGCCGGAATACGCTGGGTCGTAAAAGTCCCAAGGAGGCATCGACTAAAGGGGTTTTACTTTCACTGCTGTTACTTCGTAGGAAATGGGAGTATTATAATTGAAAATATTTTTTGTAACATTGCAATGTGCTGCAAGAATAGAAAGCTGCTGTGTATAATTTGTGTCTGTCCAAGACGAGAACACGACGTGCATTGAAGTCTCGACCTGGGATTTTGGCCACAGTGAACGTTGTAAAACGGCGCGGTGCAAAGGTGGAGGCAGGGTGACACCGTGTGGCTACAAGCGGTGCCTACACGCAAACGAACACGCGTTACGCAAACAAAGACAATGATCCCCCGTATAGCCTGCCCACACTGTTGGGGCAAGTGCAGTTAGCGAGTAGCGCCCATTCAAGGCCGGCACGGCACACTTCGGGGGTTGGGTGGCCAACACCACGACCGGGTCGCCTTTGTGTCCCGAGTGACGATGTTTACACACCGCACCAGGTACTTATTTGAGGCCGAGTCGACCTCGGGACGGCCCATGACCGGTTCAAATAATCGTTACTGGTGTTGGCCGTGAGCAGGAATCGAACCCGAGTGGCCGGGTTCCTAGCACAGCGCGCCGACCGCAACACTACCGCTTCCCACAACGCGCATTACACACACACACAAACCCTCTAACCAACGACTGGACAAGGTAGAAGTGCAGCCCCTGCAACTCCCTGTTCATGCCACCGCTGGCCGAAAGACCTCCAACTCACAGGAAGCTCTACAAACTTTAAAAGCCCCGCTCTATCGGGAATTTTGGTCGACTATTCCACGCTGGCAAGACTAGAGGTGGTCGACTGAAACCAATATAATTATATAAGCGTAGCCGTCCGTCCCTTGAGAGGGGGGGGGGCCCACACAGTGCGATTTGTCCTGGGCCCCCCCCAACCCCCAACTATGAACGGCCCTCCCCACATTTTACCCCACCTACACGCGCGGAATTGTCGTGTCGATCGAGTGCGATGTACAACATTCACGCTGCTTGGGTGGACGGAAGTGGGAAGCGGCGGGGCGGAATTTAAGAAGCTTGCCTCATCATTTCACCTACAGCGCCCCCCCCCCCCCCCCCGCTAGTGGAGATCGTCGAATCGGCAACCTCTGGATCGCAAGTCCAGCCGCGTGCCAACCGCTACACACCGCCGTTGGCAGCGCCAACCAGCGTTGTGACAGCGCGAACTAGGTGGCGCGTGACTCGTGACCACAGTCGCAGCGAGAGACGTACTGCGTGCTGCCGAGCCAGGTGCAGAACCGTTTTACACGTCCCCCTGACATAGCACGGGCCAGATATATTCACCGAACGAGCAACGGGTGTTACATCACGAAAATTCATCGTTCAGCTCGTTCGCACCACCAGCAACTCCGTGGTCAGTCTAGGCTTCTCGATTGCTTCATTTCGTCGAAGCGGCAGCCAAAGGAGGTGACCCAAGAAATTGAGCGATGGGATGGGCGCTTGTACGGGAGCTAGACCTGATCCGTTGCATCACGTGACTCTGTGGGCGGGGGGGGGGGCAGGTGGCGACGGACTTGGGCAGGCTTTCATTCAGACGTGGACGGAACACGTCTGGTCATAACAATGAACCTCCCTCTCTGTCCCGCCAACTCACCTCTAAAAGCCATCCAGCAATGGACACATCATTCATCAATTGTCACAAAAAAATCGATGAGGAATGGCACTCCCGTCAGAAAAGCGAAAAATGTGGATGATTGTTAAGCGCATGGTCTTATTCGGCTAGAAATCTACGGGATAGATGGCATGGCAGATGGTAGAATGGCCGACGTGGGTTGTGAAGGTGGAACTTGCTGCTATAAAATTAAGTGATGGAGTTGAATACACTGACAAAATTGGGGCGTTCAACTCCTAAACAATTTTCAAGCATCAATGTATTTTCTGTGAATCAAATGTGGCTTTTCTTTCCGTGTATTTGCCTATATCTGAGAGCAAAAGGTTGGGGATGTGTCTTATCATCTGCTAGGTATGTGTGTGTGTGTGAGACCCAAGCTGCGGAACTTTATAGACATTTGACTTTGTGAGGAGCATCTTGCAATCCACAGAATATGCTTCCATTCATCAACTATTGTTTCCGAACTACAAACACGTTTAATTTATAAAACAAGCAAAAATCGATCCTCACAATCACGATACGTGCATCACATTTTGCGCACAATAATTATTCACAATTCGCACGCGTTCACAACCTTAAAACCTTTGGAGATCGTATCGACCCATGCCCGCTGCAGACTCGACACGCGCCGCGAGGACTACAAATATACAGCACCAACGACGATGACGCGGATTTGCAATCGTCGCCACGAATATCGACAAAACCATCGAATTGTCGAGTGGCCCCCGAATGACTACGTCCACCGTACGTGCCCTTACCCCTCTTGCCTCTTTCACAAAAATCCCTCCAAGTGGATTGGCGCCAACCTCTCACCAGTTGCCGGCGGCAGAGCGGCGCCCAGTCTCTCTCCCCGCACCTCGACCAGAACCCAAACGCGGTTCGCACAAAGCTTAAATTACCGGCGACTCAACGAGCAAAGGGGTACAAAACACGAACACTCTTGATACGCGAATGCCAGAGCCTCTGAAAAGGCCCCCCCCCGGCAGGGAGAGGAAAAGAGAGGGGAGTTACCGACTCATCGCGCGCGCAACCCGTGCCTATCCACACGGACCACAGACACCCCCTTTCGCCCCCCCCCTCGCCGTAATTACACGCAGGAGAGACGCACAGCGCTGTTTGTACATTTAAAAAAATATACAATCGACGGTGAGAGAAAATAACTGAAGACACCTATAAAAATAACTATTCGTGCAGCAGATTTTTTTTGTAGCTTCCTGCGGTCGACCGGAGGAGTTTCCTGCATTGATGAAGGGCACCAACCACCCCCCCCCCGCCCCAAACCACCGTCCACGTGGCTTTGGACGGACAGGACCTGAAATCACCGCAGCGGCGGGATGGGTGGGGGCGCCCCTCGCCGCATCGGAATGGAATCATCTGCAAGAAACAAGAGCAGCGGCGACGTTCAGTGTCAGTGGGGGGCAACGCGGAGGCGCCATGGGGGGGGGGGGGGGGGCGGGCGATAACCAAGCGGCAATGGACTGTGCGTAGGGCGTTCGTAATTGCGCGAGTGTGCACACGTGCGATTGTGCGCGCATGCGTGCAGATAAACGCGCGAGCGCTTTTTTGCGATAGTGCAAACATGCTGGCGTGTGTGTGGGTGTCTGGCGATTGTACGAGTGGTCTGGCGAGCGTGTTGGCGAGTGTGTTGGCTAGTGTGCGAGTGTTTGACGAGCGTGGCCTATAGGGTGCGAGTGTGTTGGCAAGTGTGTGAGTGTGTTCACTAGTGTGCGAGTGTGTTGGCCAGTGTGCGAGCGTGTTGACCGGTGCGCGAGTGTCTTGCGAGCGTGTTGGCGAGTGTGTTGGCTAGTGTGCGAGTGTGTTCACTAGTGTGCGAGTGTGTTGGCCAGTGTGCGAGCGTGTTGACCGGTGCGCGAGTGTCTTGCGAGCGTGTTGGCGAGTGTGTTGGCTAGTGTGCGAGTGTTTGACGAGCGTGGCCTATAGGGTGCGAGTGTGTTGGCAAGTGTGCGAGTGTGTTGGCTAGTGTGCGAGTGTGTTGGCTAGTGTGCGAGTGTGTTGGCTAGTGTGCGAGTGTTTGACGAGCGTGGCCTATAGGGTGCGAGTGTGTTGGCAAGTGTGCGAGTGTGTTCACTAGTGTGCGAGTGTGTTGACCGGTGTGCGAGTGTCTGGCGAGCGCGCTGGCGAGTGTGTGCGCGCCAGCGAACAAACGAGCGTGCTGTCGGCGTGCGAGTCGCACTCGGTCGGTTGCTGTGGCTCGGGTAGGTCTTGGGGAAGTTGTGGAACTGCTCCGGGGGTGGGAAGTGCTCCACCGGGTGGAAAGAGAAGCGTGACTCAAAGTCGTCTGCAGGGGCGGGGGGGGAAGGGCAGAGAAAATTTCACAACCCCATCGCAAACATCTCTCCATGGGTTACAAACATAGCACGCGGGGTCGCGCCATTGCTTCACACTCTCATGGAATTTCATCGTCATCATCATCATCAGCCACGATCGATCCACTGCTGGATGGTGGTCTCCCGCCGCCGCTGCCACATCCCACCACCCCGCGATGCGACGATCCACCCAGAACCTGCACGCGAACCGACCCCTTCGCCGTCCCCTGGGTGGAGCATAATCTCTCAAACAGCTTTCCTTTGGCTGCCACGAGATCCATTATTCCTGACCGCCCTCCATCGTGACTTCTAGCTGTGACGTGTGTCCTGCCCCAATGCCCCCTTCACCGTTCCCCCCTACGGCCAGAATTTTTTCTAATTAACCCAGTTGTGTTCTCCCCGATCCAAGCGTTCATTTTTTCCCCTCTCGCAAAGCTAATTCCCGCAAACGTAAAAGTAAGCGCGACCGTGAGGCTGCGAGCCATGCAAGGTTGCGCAATGACTCACCTGCTCAGTCATCCGAGTCTTTGTGGAAGTTGGTCGGTCGGGGGGGGGGGTCGCGATTTGATTCCAGAATGGTTCTTTGTCTCGTTTGCGGTCTTCCTCATTGTTATTTTTTTTGTTTCCTCGGTTTGTACACTTTCATTTGCCCCACCAACAGTCGCGCGTATATGATCGGCACAGACGTGTGTAATGTTTGCTGAACTAATTCCGCACTGCACGTAGCCAATCGCGCTAATGGGAGATCTCACAATCGATGCTCGCGCGTAATATTTGACGCACGCAACGCGAGCGTGTATACAAAACAAAAACAAATTATGGAAATTGAGGAATCACCGCATCATGACACCCCCATCATCCTCGCACAAAACCCGTTGTATCAATACCGTCTAGTCAGGGGTGCCACAGTGGCAAGATGTTAGCTACCTCACTTGATACACAGGAGGGTCATGGATTCGATCCAGACCCTGATGCCTGCTGTATATTTCGAGATTTCATATCCTTCCCGTAGCCGCGTGCATTTCTCCGGATCCTCCAATTTTTCCCTCCGCATTTAGAATCAACATGTGTTCGGAGTATCTGTCTGTGAAAATATTTCCCGTTGGTAAGCCACGTCGTAGAGCTAATCATTTTGGGTCGCTTCTGAAAAAGAGCTAATTATATTTGGTGGGCCTTAACTGGCAAAATAAAACTGTTTTAGTTTGACAGTTTATTCTAAAGTAAAAAATCAGATTCAAGGTCAGAGGAGTCCCGAGTCTCACCTCCCATGGGCGAAACGAGGCCGCCGGTGAACGGGTCCCTGGGGCCGTTCCGGACGTGCGGAGGGGGAGGAGGGGCGGGACCGAAGCCGGTGGGGCGGCTGGATGGAGGGGGCGGCGGTGGGCCCCCGCGGCTCCTCCCGGGGGGAGCCTCGGAGGTGAAGGGGGAGCGGCCGGAAGTAGGCTGGGGCGGCGGCGGCGGCGGCGGCCCCCTCAACGTAACGCCGCCGCCGTTCCTCGACGGCGGAGGTGGGGGCGGCGGGCCTACGGGACGATCGTGAGAGGTGGGGGGGGGGGGGGGGGTGGGTGGGGGGGTCAGACCGACGGACCGTCGAGAACTTAGAGGCTTCCTTTAGTCAATACCACCCAGCCTCCGCTGGACGCCACCACGTTGCGGGGGGTCGTTGGGTCAGCGCGGGTTGGAGAAGGGACAGGTACCAAAACAGGAGCACCGGTCCAGATGTCACTCAATCGATGGGTAGCTCTGGCCGGGGTTTGAACTCATGTTGGGCAGGTTTCGTAGCGTGGCGGCTGCGACACCATCGCTTCTCACCACCCGGGACAATGTGTTTATAGTTTACAATTAGCAGGTGGGGAGTGAGGGTGTGACACGGGAAGAAGAGGAGAGAGAGCCACACGGCGGGCAGAGGCCCGAACAGAAGCTACCGCAGCCCAGCAACAACGACAATAACAATGACGTCAACAACGACAACGATGACGACAACAACGACAATGACAACAATGACAATAACGATGACAATGACAACAGACAAAAATGATGACAACAATGACGACAATGACAAAGACAACAATGACGCAATGATGAAAAACGACCACAATGACAACGACTACACCAATTGACGACCACAACGATGACAACGACAACAGCGACAACAGCAGCAGAGACAATAATGACGTCAACAACGATGACATCGACAACGATGACAACGGGCAACAACGATCCAGGGGAGCAGCAGCTGCACCATCCCTCCGGGATGAATAAAACCACGACTGCGCCACCGACTCACCCGACCGGTGTGGAGGTTCCCGGCTGGGAGGGGGTGGCCGGCTGTTGCTGCTGCCCACGGGCGGAGGAGGGGGCGCCGCCGATCTCGGTGTGCCACCGCCGCCCGAGGGGTGGTACAGCGAGTTCTGCCTCTGCGGCAGCGCCGGGCCGTCCGACACGGAGTGCCGGCTGGGCGGGGGCGGGGGCGCCATGCCCCGGCCGGACTCTCCCCGGTGAGCGGGCGGAGGCGGAGCGCCATTCCTACGCGCGGGGGGCGGTGGAGGGGAGGGGGCAGGTGGCAACGCGCGGTCACCCGGGTGTCACGCCAGGGTCACGCCAGCGTCACGCCAGGGTCACGCCAGGGTCACGCCAGCGTCACATCGACGTGCGCGTGGTGGTGGGGGCGAGGGTGAAGCCGTGCCCGCCGCCGGGTACCGCTTCTGCTGTGCCAATTTGCCGGGTGCGGTCGCAGGCAGCAAAGTGGCCTGGTCAACACACCAAGAAGCGCGAAGCGCAAACAGCGCACGTGCTGCGAATACGGCAACCCGAGTTCGATTTCCGCTCTCAAACAATAACGGTGGCCATTCATCTGAGCCGTTGCTGGGCTCCCCCTAGGTCGACTTAGCCTCAAATGCGTACCTGGTGCAATGTGTAAACATCGCCTCTATGGGAGTGGTGCTGGCCACCCACTCCCCTCTTGTGCCGTGCCAGCCTTCATAGCTTCTCACTCGCCGCACTTGCTCCAAAAGTCTGCGAAGGCTATACGGGGGGATCTTTGTCACAATTCGTCCACCCAAACAAAACACAAAAAGGCTCTCTTATCTTATAAGAGCTCCTGCCAAGTGCAAAAAGATAGAGACAGAGCGAGCCTACCATGAATTATTCTACCCCGTTCCAGTGGTGGAGTCTGGCACACTCGGACAAGATGGACATACTATGCGCACATTAAAACACTGCTTGTGATCATAGTCTACCACTGCGACTACCACCACCACCACCACTATGGTGTCGTGTTCCCGTGAACTTGACTCATTGATTCTTCCACCCGTGTCGAGGACTCGATCTCTACCAGACGCTGACTGCTTCGTCTCATCCACCACACTGTGTCCAACCACCACCACTACCACCATGCTGCAGGCCAACAAAAATGAATTTTACAAAAAAAACATGTGAAACGAGTAGGGAGGGTTTCTCAGATATTTCACTCCCACACCAGTGAGATTAAAGTTTAGCCACCCTTAAAGAATTGACTTCAATGGACGAATCGGTGCATCGTCAACACGGCTGTCGTCCGCGTTTAGGCGTCTGTGGCGTCAGCGCCAGGGTGGCGAGATGTTATCTCCCTCGCCTGGTGTGCAGGAGGTCGTTGACTCGATCCCGACCCTGACGCCTGTATATTTGAAGTTTGCATCTTCTCCCCGTGGTCACGTAAATTTTTCACCTGGTCCTCCGGTTTTTCTCTCCAACATTTAGAATCAGCGTGCGCATTTGGCTGCTAGAAATTCCCATACGATAAGCCACATTTGTGACGGCCAGGTCGCTTCTGAAAAAGAGCTGTATAGCTCAGTGGTGCAGCACCTGGCAAAACAAAATCAGTTGAGTTGCTTCGTTCACGCAAAGATAATTATCAAAGGGGCACGACGATCGAGAGGGCGCACGGAATGCGTGAGAAACGGGTGCCAAAAAAAGACACCGCGGCCACGTGGCATTTAAAAGTCGAGGTGCAAGCCGGGGGGGCGGGGGGGGGGGCGTTACTCTCACAAGCCGCTGTTGTGTGTTTGTCTCCGGAGGCTGGACAAGCGTGCGGATCTTGCGTACGGCGCGGTTCACAAAAAATTTCACAATTCGTCACGCTCTGGGCAATGTGGAGAATGCCAAAATTTAAGTTCTGCAAGCTAACAGTTTTGCAAAAAAAACACACGACCGTGCCACGGCGTTGGGAGCGGGGTGGGGGGGGGTGGCCCTGGAGGGGGTTAGAATAACCAGCAACGAAAACACGCACATTGTCACGACACCCTCGAAAAAAACCTTCAGTGCCAAGGGCTCCAAAGGTGAACAATTAAAAAATATGTTTTAAATCCTGCGCTTGTTCGGCCGCCTATAACCAAGCTGGGCTTTTCATGTATGTATGTTGAACTTCTTTCGCACCGTACGTAGCCAACCGTGCAACCTCGCAAGTATAGAAAGTTTATGGTCTCGGTTTGGTTATTCATGTACAGTGGAAAACAAGATAAAAGTCTACAAAGACAAAGATCAGATCCCCCATAGAGCCTGAACAGACTTTTGGGGCAAATGCTGTTAGCGAGCACCTATGAAGGACAAAAACGGCACACGATGGAGTGGGTGGCAAGCTCCACGCCCGGCCGCCTTTGTCTCCCCAGTGGCGATGTTTACACACCGCACCATTTACTCATTTGAGGCTGAGTCCATCTAGGGGAGGCCCAGGACCGATTCAGATAATCGTCACTGGTGTTGGTGGCCGTGAGCAACTCGGGCCACCGGGTTTGTAGCTTAGCACGCGAACCGCTACACTACCGCTCCCCGGCGTGGCTCGGTTGCACAGCAGAAAAAAAAAAGTCTCCTCACACAGACACACAAATACACACACATACCGATCGTTCTGTAAATGGACAAACGGCCACGACGCTTGCAAACCCCCATGGCCGGGCCCCCCTCACCTGCTCGAGTAGTGGGGGGGTGGCGCGGGGGGGCCCCCCTTTCCGTACGAGTGGGCCGACGGCGTCAAAGGCTCCCGGTACGGTGGGGGAGCGTCCCTCCTCATCGATGTCCTGTGCGGGGGCGGCGGTCTGTCCCTGCCTTGCATGGGGGGCGGCTGACTGCTCTGACGCTGCTGCTGCTGCTGCTGCTGGCTGTTGTTGTTGTTGCTACCGCCGCTGCCGCTGCCGTACTGCCCTCCCGCGCCCGCGTACGACGAGTGGAGTGACGAGGCGGGCCTGGGCGTCGCCGGGGACGCCGGGTAGGAGGGACGACGGGCGCCGGGGGACGCGGCCTTGGTGCCGTGCGGCGGCGGCGGCGGCGGGGCCACGTGGTGCGGCTTGCTCTGGCCGGCGCCGCTCCGGTAACCGGCGGGGTTGCCGGCGCCGTACGCCTGGTGGGCCGACGACGACGACGGCACCGACGGTTCGGGCGCAGGGCCGTTCAGGTTGGAGCCGACGCTGCTACTGTACAGCGAGGAGCGGGGGCGGCCAGGAGGGCTCGGCATTCGACCGCTGCTGCCGCTGCCGCTGCCGCTGCCGCTGCCGCCGGCGCTGGAGAACGGCCGTGGCGTCAGGGAGATGCCGGCGGGACGGCCGCCCGGTGGGGGGTGCATCGCTCCTCGGCTCCCTGCACCACCACCACCACCGCCGCTGCCGCCGCCGCTGCTGCTGCCGGAATCTTTTGTAACGGATAAGGGCGGAGGCGAAAGTCCGTAATTCAGTAGGAACCCCGTTTAACGACAGTAATTTGTTCCAGTGATTTGGTCAATAAGAGAGTACAGGAAAGACACGTTAAAGGCTTAATTCTTTCCAATAGCATTGAAAGTTATCCTTTTTCACAGTTGTGTCGCAGTAGTGGGGGCGATGTTGCTACGCGTAACCCCAATGGCCTACTGTTTTCAAGTCATGACCTCACGGGATCTCTAACGTCCGCTGAGAACGGAGGTGGCGTGCCCCAGCGACACGCGCAAACACGGACACACGAACACACTCACAGCCCTTCTTGTGCCATAACCACGCTCCCGCTTACCTCCATTGTCACGTGCCGTGGTAGGACGCAGTTGAGGGACGCCACCGGAAAATAGCCCGCCAACACCACCGCCACCACCACCGCCGCCGCCCCCTCCCTTGGGTTCTGCGATGTTGAAACCACCGTGTTTCAGGGACAAGTCAGCACAGAGTGCCAGTGCAGCAATGGAATTTCAACAGGATGCGAACAAGTCAAACTGGCTTCTCTGTGCCAAATGGAGATGCGTGTTCGAGCGTGCAAGCGTTCAATTTATCGCCCTTTTGTCAATCCACTGGCGGACGGAGGCCTCCCCTCGCCCGCCGGTCGTAATGGGGTTGTTTGCCCATCCTTCACCGCGCTGATTAGTGCGGCGTTGGTGAACTCGGGTGGGGGCGGTTGTGCACCCACGACCGGTTGAGATATCGCTCGCCACCGATGTTAGCCATGGCTGCGAAACGACCTCGGGTTGATGATCGGCCAGTGTGCTACAAAAACCCAGCATCCCGAGTTCGATTCCCAGCTGCGGCTAACGTAGTTGTGTATATCTAAAACCGGTGTTGGGCCTCCACTAGGTTTACTCATCCTTAAAATGAAAACCTCGTGCTGTGTGTAAATATCAGCATTGGGGAGATAAAGGTGGCCGGTTGTGGTGTTGGCCAACCTCCCGCTCGTGCTTGGATCCGGCCTTCATAGGTACTCCCCTCAAAGTAACTGTCTCTATAGTCTGCTAAGGCTATACGGGGGATCTTTGTCTTTGTCTACGTACAGGCATGTAAACTCGTGTGTGTACGAGTACGCGTGCTTGTACAAGCATGCGTGTGCACGTGCTCAAAAATCCTCGCCGCATGGTCTCAACATGCCGTGACACGGAGGAGAAACACACACCGCCCGGGAGGAGCACGCGTCCCTCAATCAATCCATTCCTATCCCACCCCTCAATCTATCCCACCCTCACTCTCTCCCTGTTCCTGTCTCCATCCCCCCCAAAGACTCCCTCCATCTCTCCCTCGCTCCCTCTTCCTCCAGCCCTCACTCCCTTCACCTCTTCTCTCTTACATTCCCCTCCTGTCATCTCTCCATCCCAGCCACCCACCTTCCCATCCCGCCCTGCCAACCCCCCAGCGCTGACTCACTGTCTAGGAGGGGTGCACTGCGGTCGTTTGTCACGATCTTCTTCAGACGCGCCCCACTTTGAATCTCGGAGAGCAGCGCTCCCCTGCCCCTCTGCTCCGTGCGCGATAGCCTGGGAGGGTCAGTGTTGGCCTGGAGACAGACGAGCAAGCAAGCATGCTGATTGCTGGGGCTGTGTTCTTTATAAATATGGAAGACACAAACTTATATTTAGATATATAATAAAAAAACAAAAACCTCACCACATTCGTCAATAACACTGTTGTGACGTTAAAAAGATAAAGTATATGACAGGTGATGTTTTTTTTTCCAATGGCCCTTCCTCAGCGCATAGAGGCCATAGATGGAGAGTTCATCTTATGCTGGAGCCAACACACCTAGGCTGCATCCGAATTAGTTTCGGATATAGAAGACTTCATGTGAGATTTTAGTTTGTTTTTTTTACGGCAATTTCAGAAATCTTCGAGTTGGATTTTAAGGTCGTTAACGTCGCAAAATAAGTTTGCCGTGCCTCCGTGCTAACAAAGTGACGTCACCTCGCCGCCACGTGATATCCCCCCCATTCTGCCCCCCCACCATTAAAATGACAATTCAGCCACTGCCCCACACTGCATGCAACCGAGCACTATCCAGGCGCAAAACCCTGCTCAACTTCCGAGATCCGGTGCGATCCAGAAATCAGGTGCATTCCAGGCGGTTTGTGGTCATGCTTGTAACAAAAATGTACTTCCAGGGAATTTTGAGTCAATTAGCAATAGCCACACGAGATGAAGTTGCACGGTGTTGCGATGATGGCTTCAGGAAGGGAGGGCAGAGGAGGAGCAAGCATGGAATGTACGTAGAACTTTTTTATGCACCGTACATAGCCCCACCGTGCTAAATGTGACATCATTACATTGGACAAAAAGACAAGTAGCTGTGAATGCTGGTTTTTTACCGATGTTCTGAGAGAAATCCTTTGGTCAATTTAAGGCCAATTAGCAACACAACTTTACGCAAAAAACTGTATTCACAATGGATCACGTTTACCAGGATTATCGTGAGCCTCGCAAAGCAGACGAGACAAGCAGGCGGGCACAAAGACAGACGCACAGAGACAGGACAGACTGACAGATGGACAGACAGGGGACAGACGGACGGACAGAGATATGGACAGACGGATGAACACATGGACAGACGACGAAGAGAGGGGAAGAGATGGACAGAGCGACAGACAGATTAGCCAGGCAGACAGAGCCAATTGCATTCACGCCGTCAACCTTTGCTCGAAGGCTTTAAGAAAAAAAGCACCCTGGTACGGTGAAAACAGTTGTTGTTGTATTCCGAGTCATAATCCTTGACGTTTTCATTATTTATTTTTGGCTGCAAACTTCCAGAGGAACGCGAAGACACCCGTGTGGTGGCTTACCTGCGAGAAGGTGGGGGGCGGGGGAGCCGCGGGGGGTGGCGGGGGTGGGGGAGGGACTGGCATTGTCCGCTTACGACTTCTAAAACGCAAATCACCCGAGAGCCGGGGGGAGGGAGTACGGACGCGTCTCTCTGTCTCGCCTGCCGATGCCGCTCGCGGATCGTCGGCCCGCCTCCCCGCCCCAACCTGCAAATGGCAGCGAAAGCACGGGGGGGGGGGGGGGGGGGGGCACTTCCGTTTAGCTGGTGGGGGGGAGGGGGGCAGGTGAGCGCGACCGGCCGAAACATCGATACGTGATCCTTCCGCGCATTCAAATCGCCTGCATGAGAATACACTGCTTAAGGGAAGCGGACGGATCTCTTCCCTTACGGGGCTCGTCGCTGGGCTGAACGAACAGAATCGACGATAGGCAGAAGGAAGAGCTGAGACAGACAGAATGAATGAGACAGAACGAAGGAAACAGCAGGACAAACAAGACCGCCAGTAGCAACAAAACAGAGGTAACACAAACAGGCAAGAATACAAAAGAGAGACGGTACAAACGAGACAGACAGAACAGAAAAGACTGAACAATTGAAAAGAAAGCTAACACGAGGCATCGAGCACAAACGAGACAGACAGTTACTAAGGACGAGGAAGCACGGATGAGGCTTCGAGTACGAACAGGAACACCGCGTACGGACGAGACGATGCAGACAACCCGGACGGGACGTGCAGCGCGGCGCAAACCAGACGGGAGGGAGCCCAACCGATTACACCAACTGAGCCACGAGCGCCGAATCGCGACGAGCAATCCAAGTCGCGAGGAGGAGAGCGTGCATGGACACGCGCCCGGCGTTTGGTTTTTACCGAAGTTTTGAGAAACCGCACGGGAGCGGCTTGGAAAACAGACGGACGCACGACTGGCGAGGGAGGAGGAGGAGAGCTGGCAGGCGCTGGAATTACACTCGACGGCACAGTAAATAATTTAAACTGCGTGCGTGCAAACACCTCGCTGCCGCGGAGCACGCGGAAACCGTGCACTGGGATGGCATGCTGCCGCACGACATTGTCATGGTCGACATTCGCAGCCCATTGATCTTTGCCCAACAATCCATATACGCTGCCCTCTCCGTCACCTTGGGCTAGATTTTGACAGTTTGTGTGTGTTGTTTGTGTGTGTTGTTGGTGTGTGTTGTTGGTGTGTGTTGTTGGTGTGTGTTGTTAGTGTGTGCATGCGTGCACGCTTGTCTATGGGGGAGCGGTAGCGCAGCGTTACGAACCCGGCCAAACGAGTTCGATTCCCGCTCACGGCCAACACCAGCAATGATTATTTGAACCGGTCCTGGGGCCTCCCCCCTGGGTCAACTCGGACTCAAATGAGTTCCTGGTGAAATGTGTAAAAACATCGCCGCTGCGGAGACAAAGGTGGTCAGGCGTGGTGCTGACCATCCACCCCCTCGTGTGCCGTGCCGGCCTTCATAGGTGCTCGAGAACAGCACCTTCCCCAAAAGTCTGTTCAGGCTATATGGGGGATCTGTGTCTTTGTATGCATGTGTATGTTTTTTTGTCTATGCGCGTTTGGGTGTGTCTACGTGTGTGTCTGTGCATGTGAATTCGAATGAGGGTTCGCTTCCCGCCCACGGCCAACATCAGTGACGAAGCCGAGCCCTTTTATCAACTCGGCATGAAATGAGCAAGTGGTGCGGTGTGGAAACAGCAGCGATGGGGAGACCAAACCAGCTGGCTGTGGTGCTGGTCACTCACCCCCTAAGGTGCCGTGCCGGCCCCCTCACTGGTGCTCGCTAACAGCACTTGCCCAAATCGTCTGCGAAGGCTATACGGGCCGTCTTTGTATGTGTAGTGTAGTCCTTCGGCCTATTGGCGCTACAACGTCCTTTGGTCTCTTTGCTCTACAGACCAATATCATCCAGCAGGAAACTATGGACCGGTTTTTTTATGCAATGGATGTCACTATACACGAGTTGTTTTGCGTGTTAGTCGATAATACACTGAAGTGTATAACACAGATAATGGTTGTCTTGAAACACTTTTTTGAGATTGAAATGTTGATACCCAAGCACAGTAAAAACATTCCAGCAGAACTCCTTTGTGCCAATAAATTGTCCATCCAGATCAATTGAATTTACAAACACTGCCTTTACAGACCAATGACATCTGACAGCATTTGTTTAAGCAAGTAAACTCCGGACCATTTTTCGACCTTGTGGGCATTGCAGGCGTGTTAAACAAATACTGCCTGCCTGGTCAGACATTATTGACAAGAGCACTCCATCTAAACAACGGGGGGGGGGGGGGGGGGGGGGGTGTCGTACTCGCTTCAACTGTTCTCGTTTACGCCGTTGGCACCTCGCGACCTGTTTTATACTGGTCGCGAAAGCCTACGTGTTAAACTGTTTCATACTTGTGAAAGGTGTGATATCAATTCTTAACTAATAATGATCACAATGACGATGATAAAAAGAGATGTTATTCAAAGGCTCGCAGACCAAAAGAGCAGGCAAACACAACCCTCGTGAACATCGCTCGTTTCCCCATGCAAATTAGACAACATTCTGCTTGACGTTCAACTCTTTCCGTGCGCCGTGTAATGGTTGGAAAACTGGACTTGCAGTGCAGAGGTTACCAGTTCAATTCAATTTGATGATACCACCACCGCAGTTGGTACAATGTGAAAGTATTTATTTTTTTGCTATTCCCCCACTGCCTCTGTCCACCCCAGCGGTACAGATGGGTGCATCCCAGTTGGTCGACCAGCAGGTAGCGTGTGTGGTTGGCTAAAGCGTGGGCAAACTGCCATCTCTTCCATGACGCCTGGCCAGCGCGAAAGTGTAGGCCAAAACACCGAACCCTCTAAGGGTAGAAGCCATTCCCGTCAGCGATGGTGTCGTGTCGTAAGCTGGCGCCTCTACACCTCTCTCTATCAGGAAGTGCGTGTGAGGTACCGAACTCTCACAATAAATGCCAGGGTCTTGCAACCTGCATGGTGGAGGCAAAGTGTTTATGTATGTATGTTGAACTTCTTTCGCACCATACATAACCAACCGTTGCTAATCGGAGGTGCGGGGGAAGGACAACAAACGAAACAAAAAAAGCAGATCTAAAGAAATTCGCTATCAATCTAGATGATTTAAAAGTGCATAGCTCCAGTGGCTTCCTAATATCAGAAGGAAGAGCGTTCCAGATAGCCGCAGAAGCGCATCTGAGAGCGCGCGGTGACCGTCTTTGTTCAATGGCGAGCCAAAGGCCGTTGCGAGGATGACTGGAATTCACGTGATGGTTTATGCTCCTCGACTAGATCAGCAAGGTATTGTGGTTCATTCGTGACAAGCACTTTCTCTGCGATGACAAAATTATTGCGTATTCGCTCGGCAACCGGAAGCCAATGCTGCTCGGCGAGCACCAGATGGACATGGTGGTATCTTGCGGTACCCGTCGCGACACGAGCCAAGGAATTTTGTACACGCTGCAGCTTCGCGACTTTGTTTACAACTGACGCGCATTGCGCCATTAAGAGGAACCAAATATCACGTTCCTCGTTTGTCTGATGGAGGCATAAAAGATAGCAACACAGGAATTTAACTCGATGCCTATCGAGTTAATGGCGGCGGACACAGCAGAGCGGTTGAGCCCATTTCACGCTTGTTTACGGAGGTTTGCTGGTTCGAGAAGAGCGGCAACCCCGGTTAATCCCGTGGGGGGAATGACACCAGAAACGTACCCCGCTGTCTGCACCGCAGCAAGCATCATTCAAGATCCCGTGTGCCAGCATCACGCGGACACAAAATCATATAATTAACATGAACCAAAGAATCTTACTGGTTATTGGCCAAACACTATCCCCAGATTCTGAAACGTTGCCAGCAAATCACTTGATTGGTATTGCACAGCAGCAGCAGCAGCAACATCATCCCTTACTGCGCAAACTCGGCAGGACCCACCTGGTCTTTGGACTCGGCGAGCCTTTCCTGAAAAATAAGTTAATACCTCAGTGGCCTTTGCCGAGTAGGATGGGGATGGTTTAGTTTTATGTTTCATGTTTTTGGGTGATTTTTTTTCCTTTCCTGCGCTGTTGTCGAGTTTCTTGTATTGTTTATTGTTGAAACATTCTCACGTGCCCCAAATAAAAGAGCTTTATAGCTCATCGGATTCCTTCAGAAGGAATACATATTCCGATTCTGAAAACAAATGTAAATAACGTACTTATAGAAATTCTACAACTACCTGCCAATCACTTGTTTGCATCGAGCCACGGAGCAAATATCGACGCCCTGTGAGCAAATGCCGACCGTAATCGTCCATGGGAAACGCAGCAGTGCCTTTGTTGACGGGCCTTGCGCCGCCGTTAAGAATGGCGAGAATTCCGAAATGTACTTGGGGAAAATAATTTGATCTCCCCTTGTTGAGGGGGCCCGTGCTTTGTGTTGCGCTCACAAACAGCATTTAGTTTTCTCTCCACCACCACCACCCCACCGCCATCCTCGGCCACGCTTCTAAAAAAAAAGCGAACTCACGCGGTCAAAAAATAAATAAAACCCACACGGTTAAAAATAAAATCGGGACTCCCGCAATTTTGGGAACAAAACAAAGCAACGTGTTCAAACGGTCGTCGATACAATTAACTTCGCGTTTCTCTGCGGCGGGGGGGAGTGGGTGGGAAAAAAACACACAAAATGCAGATGCGTTTCCAGATATACATTCGTCCTTCCTCAAGCGGGACGCATTTGCACATGAAGGAAACAAACAGGTCGCGCGCAACGATCATGGTGGCACGTGCGTTTCTCTCCGCGAGTATTTAATTAGCGGTGCACCGAAGCCGGCGGGCGGGCGTCAGGGCGAAATAGAACCGTGCTGCCGCTAGAAATAATGTCCACGCGATAAGCCACTTGTCATTGGGCTGCTATCATTTGTGGCGAGGTCACTTTTGGAAAAGAGCTACGTAGCTAAGGTGGGGGGGGGGGGGGTCTTACCTGGGAAAATACGAAGAGTAAAAAGAGATTTAAAAATTAGTTTGCATGTTTGCAAATTGTAGGGGGGGGGGGTTTTGCCCTGTTTTCGGGCCTCTCAAGATTAGAGCAACCATCTTTAAAGCAAATATGGACAGTTTTCACTCGGGTAAGACCCTAATAGCAACACGACTTTATCTAAAGCTTAATTCACTTTGGAGCATGTCTATAAAAGTTATG